CGCAGTATTAGAATATTTTATTATTGTTAAAAAATTATAATACAATTGTTAAAAAATTATAATACAATAGAAAGAAGCACTGAATTTCAAACGCGTCAAACGCGTCAACACATTAAAAAATGACATAAATCAAATTAAACGTCTCTCTCAGATTAAATTCACTTACATCAAACTATCATAATTAGATCATATTCTGATCCTGAAATTGAAAAATTTATCCATTTCAGTGATTCAATCTTCGCTCTACCTATAATGATTCTAGCAAAGTTACATAATATATATGTAACCCTAAAAAAGGTACTATTTAAGCGGAAGTTGGGCTCGAAACGTGTATAATTATACACATGTATGAATATATCACTTCACACATAAACACGCATATCACGTAACGTATGAAAGTGTTATATTGCAAGTTTATCCCACTAAGCAGTAAAAACGAATAAAAATCAACGATTTGTGACCGTAACAGAGGTTTAATTTTGCAAATTAGAAAAATACGAAAAAAATAAAGAAAAGTAATACACGTGTAAAAAAAAACAGGAAAGAATATAAATTGTTATTTGGTACGAACTCATCTTCTGTATTAAACATCGGAATAAGTTTTACCTTTCTGTGCGATAATTCTCATATAACCTTTGATTAATACCAGAGAGTGCTACCGAGCAAAATTCTGCTTAGAATCATGCATACTAAGAAACAATAAATAAAAGTGCACCGCTGATAACAGTTGCTTATCATTGCTATCAATAACCAAATTGAAATTAAGCTTCATTCATTGAGGGAATCAGAATCTTGCAATTTTAAAACAGAACCAATTCTTTGATTAGTGCTGATGAATAATACCAGTAAGAGTCTAAAGATTAGTGCTGTAATTATTTTTCGCTTTACCGATGCAAAATGCTCACGCTGAAGTGGGGACATTGCGTGCAAATGCTTTGAAGGCGTGTACATTTCTGTACCACACATTTTCTTGTATTCTATACGTGACTCATCTACCTTTGTTTCTAAATAATCTAATCTTAACAAATAGTATAAATAAAACTAATTAGTACAAATGTTATTGCTTACATTAATTGATACTAGTTTTTCGTAAATGATATGATCTTACTTTAATGGCATAAGCAGCGGAAGATATGTGAACGATTAAACTTAATAATAAATGTATGCATAATCAGAATTTTTTGATTATTTTTGGAACAAACAAAATAAGTGGTGCTGTTTATAATAGAGCAGTCATGTTTCTGAACAACAAGCAATTTAGCTTAAGTGGGCAGTACTGTGCACAATCAAGCTATACAATAATACTGTGTGTGACCGGTAATTCTCGACTAACTGTGTAACAAATATATTTAAGAGAAAAGAATAAAGTTGATATACATTAAAAATTTCAAGTCATAAGATATGTTTGTAATTAATATCTGACTCAGAATGATTTTCCTTGCAACGATCCAGGTCAGATACAGATTACATTTTCTTTAATAATATGTCACTCATAATTCAATATTCATTTCTGTTGTACTGCAAATGAGTACAGTTACCTGGATAGATCTACAAAAACAGATCTCAAAATAGTAAATATTAATACAAAAATACTTTTTACAAATTTCACGACAATGTATTTTTAAAATTGATTTCCAGAGATTAGTAAATATTAATAATACATAATTTATCCTATCGATAAACCTTTGCAAAATTGAAAAATCCATCTCGTAGATCACTTCTTAAGTGAATCTGCGTAACGCTAAAAATAGAAAATACGTTTCTTTGTAAAATCAGTCAGAGTTGCGGTTGCAACCAGATTCTAACAAACTGAAAAATACTTCCCCAAAACCGCAGCCTTGGATCTCTAGTTAACTGATTTAAAAACCATTTTTGGTATTGCCTCTGTCCAAGAATTATCACATACATCATACAAACACATCTGACTGATTCTATATAAAATAATCTAATTCAACCAGCACTCATACTAATGTCTGATTAGTCTGTTTTAAATGATCTCTCAATCTCAAAAACCTCTTACTGAGTTCTCTCCACTAAAAAATACAGCAATCATTGCTATAATTTCCATGATCTGAATAAGCAATGCACAGCTAGACTAGTAACTTCACATTTATTACTTCATAAATTACTACACAATATATTTACTGAAAATTTTGATACGAATTATCTTAATTTCTTCATGAGGCTAAAGAACTAAGTAAAATAACAAAATAATAAAAATAAACGTAAATTTACTTCTTAGAAATAAATAATCTAAGTTAATGCGATAATAATTTTTATCTTTACCACTTATTCAGCAACAATAAAAATCAAATTATTAGACAACACTTATTAGGTATAAATAATGACTAGATTCGGATATTACTCTTAAGAAAAAAATATTACAAACTGATCAATATTCCCGTAATTAATCGGATATCTATATTTTATCAGTTGTATTAATCAATTATTAAACAACAATGTATGCAATATAATATTATTATTAATGCCTGCGGAACACAATATTACAATATTTATATAATTCAATTCTTCAAGCAATAATTCCCTCAGTAAATTCAATTTTTATAATAGAACAAAGCAACAATAAAAATAAATAACAGACTACAATTTACAGAAACAAACGGAATGCTCCACCACTTTGGCATAAAATAGTGAAATTAAGAGGAAGAAGATAAATTAGTTTAACATTATCACTTTTATCTTACTTTAAATTTTAAATGCCAGAAACTATTATAAGGTTATTTTAATTAATTAACTTGGTGGAACAATATTTATGCAAATTGTTTTTTTTTTCAATCAAAAGTCTGATTGTCTTAAACTTGTCTCATTTCATCAAGTATTCATTCATATATAAATTAATAAAAATTATTAATAAAAAATTATTCTCAAGTCAAAAATACTACTTAGTCCGAAAGTAAGCTATCTGCATCACTTTGGAAATAAAATGATCTATCAATAAGATAAATTTAAGCTAACACCCAACAGAGGTTTGATTGCTGAGAACATTGAAGACAGATGAAAGCCAGACTAGAACCGAATGACGCAAGCGCAAAATGTTCAAAAATAAATATTATTTTGTCACAAATAAAAAGAATAATGTTTCCACCTTCAGTTCTCTTTAAGAAGTACAATATATATTACTGCTTTAAAAAATAAAAAATCAAATGATAATATGTAAAAAAAAAATTGAAATCCCACGTTAAAAAAATTATTGAAAAACTAATCTTCGAATCGAAAATACTTTAAAGCTTCAACCCGCAAGATTTCTATCTAAAATATAGCTTCAATTTAATCTTTTTATTCTTAATCCTTATTTTATCCAAATTTATCTACGCAAAATTTGCTTTAATCTATTTTGGATATTGAAAAACAGTCAATATATTTATTTTTCGTTGAATTATAATAAAAATAAATAAATACATATAAATAAATAAATATACATATATATAAATGAAACAAGCAAATAAAATTATCCTATAATTTGAATTAAATTAATCAAATTTCGGAAATAAAAAAAGTAAGAAAGAAATGAAAACATATCACATTTCCCTGATGAAAGTAAAGAAGGCAAGAAATTGACTTAGACGACGACGAGAGAAGCCAAAACAAATGGAGTGAAAAAGTAAAAAATGGCATCAAATGTTAATAATCACTGTAGTCATCATGGTAATAACACAATCAAATAAACAATTAATAATAAATTACTATCACACCAATAACTACTTGTGGCACATATAAAAATTTTTAAATTAAAGCAACTACCTAATAAACGCATTAAAACACTGACTGCACCGAATAAATTTTGCTATACCATACACGTGAATGGCATAATGATTACAATTTATATCGTCTGATAAAATAACGATATCAAATGGGGTCATATATGTACTTGTCTCGCAACTATACACAAACTAATTTGAATTATTCTGTAAGAAATTAAAATGCTTTTGTGAATTTGCATAAATTAGTATTTTATAAGCTAGTTTCGCCTAATCTCATCCAATAAACTGACTTATAAATAATACATCCCTGCCTAAGCCTTAATGCTAAACAAAATGGGTAAATTCCTTCAAATATAATTAAATGTTTTTCAAGTAAATCTTGAAATTACTTTCTCTGAACCTACAAATTAATGCTCCTGCGTTGTTTTTACTGAATTTATTAAAGGTAATGAAGAATCCTCAGCATATTTTTTGTTGTTTGTAGCCAGACAAATGACATCATTTGGGACAACCTTTTTCGGTATAAAATTTTTGCGACGTTTTTTTGCTGATGCTAAGTTACTAACAGTTATGGTAGTAGTTGTTGATGTTATAGCTGCACAAGTCACAGTTGTAGTTGTTGTTGTCAACGATGTTACAGTAGTGCTAAGTTTTGTTGCTGGAACTATTTCTCGAATATCATTGAGACACACATTAGAATCCATCACAGAATGATCAGAAATAAAAGCTGAAACTGTAGCTGATGTAGTAGAAGTCGCATTCGTAACTTTTTTCCGTGAAGGACTGCAACAAATTGAATCCATACTTATTCGATTAACCGAATCATTTATTGTTGTAGTGCTATTACTGCTAATACCACCACTATTACTACTACCAGTTCTTATCGAGGCGGAATTGGTTACTTGCATTGTAATATTGTTGCGGCGTACAAAACGGGCTACCCAACCCTAAAAATTCAATCATATACTGTAAATTACGCGAACAAAAAAATGATATTCATATAAATATTGAACAATTTATACTTTCTTACTTGAAGAAGCAATTTTGCTTCTTTATTTACTTACTGTGCACTAACTAATTACATGTTATTTCTTGGTGATCTCTCATTTCAGAAGCTTTAAGTAGAAAGAAATGTCATTTTTCTATTTTGAACCTAACAAGAGGAAAAAATTGCCTGCAGAAAATGAAATGGAATTTAGTGAAGCACTTTAAAAATTTGCTAATAATTTTCTTCACTGTGGCTTATTTATAGTTCACGTATTATTGCTGAATATCTCATTGCAAGGAAAAGTACCTAATTAAAATAATACTGAGAACAACTTTGAAAATTTTAACTACAAGTATCGACAAATTTTTTTCAGTTTTTTTCATTCGTTTAATTATAATTATTCATATTTATGAGCAAATTACCTTGAAAACAGACTACATTTTGAGCACATCCTTAACTAAGACATCTTCATTTACTTATCATATTATTTTTACACAAATAATTTGCTTAATTCTTACAGCTTAAAAATATAGAGATGGCATTAATTTGACTTAGATATCTTATTTGATATTTCACTGCAATCTTACTTCAATCAAAAATTTCAAACCCTGTAATAGCTAGAAACAATACATATTTAAACAGTACCATATTAGCAGTGAATCCGCGATCAGTGCATCCCGGATTTTGATCACAGATTTCTTTCCATAGGGAATTAGCTTTCTCTTTGATATCATGCCAGGTTAAGCTTGTATTACTATCATTTTTTGATGCCACATATTGAAGCTGTAAATTTACCAAATTATTTTCTACTCCATATCAATGCTATCTTCTAAAAAGTTACTATGGTAAAATTTTGAAACTAAACCAAGTCCAATTTGTAAACAATATTTATGCTCAAAGAAAAATCTCTAGAACAATACAAAATATCCACTAATAGCACAGTATTTAACAAAAGTTAAGACGCTAATGCTTGATAAATAATTTATCTTTGATCGGCCATCGATATATAACTAGTACCAAATATTAATTAGTATCATATAAATATATATCTGTGCGGTAATAATAATTAATACTAAATATAGAAACGTAATTATATATTTTTTGAATACAATCAACACATGTTCTCGAAAACAAAATAATTGTCAGATATATTCGATAAAGTTTTGCTTCACTGACTCATTTGTTTTTTCGATCAGAAGTTGAGAGTAAAAAAATTAAGCAAACCTCAACAAAATCGTTACTTAATTATTATTTTTCTGACTACAACTGAAACATTAAAATAATCTACTAACCAAACCCTTTTCAAGATCTTCGGAAACTGGCCTTCGACCTCCACCATCCAATCGAGAGCGTTCAGGAGTAGTTTCGAACATTGACCTATGAAATAAAAGTATTCGCTGATATATTTTAGCTATATTTCTTAATAGGAAATGCTCGAAAATTATTTTTGCTTGCAAAAAAAGCTGGTGAAACCTAAAACCTAAGTCTTTGCTCATTCTTCCTCCATTCGCGTATTGAACTTTCTGCAACATTAAATTCTCGTCCAGCTGCCCGATTTCCAATAACCTAATAAAATGACATATTATAGTATATTATAATATATACTAAACCAATCAGTAAAATGATCAAAAATCTATTTCCGCACCTATCTAATTATACTTCATCCAAACATTGTTGGCATGAAGTCAGCTTATGGAGTTGACTTCTGTCTACACGCACCTGATACATACTACTGAACATAATGTAATGAATATTACTTACACACCGCTTCACTCGCCTAAATTATGAGCTAAATTATTAGTCACGCAAATTTTTTTTAAAGATCACACCGTTACCATTTATAAAATTTTTCCATAAACGATATGGAAACAATTTTTTTTGCGTGACTATTATAGTATATTATAATATATACTAAACCAATCAGTAAAATGATCAAATATTCATTACATTATGTTCAGTAGTATACTAAAGAAACAAAAGTATCTGTGATTTCTTATTTTCAAAAGTTCTTGTTTTTCCTCTGCTAAATCTGCACTTCAGTTGAGTCAAACTTTCTTAATTTTTAAGATTTGACTATAATCCTTACCATAACTTTAATCACATGATCATATGAATTTAAAATTGAAATTACTTTAGCATAGTCGATAATGTCAAGCTTTTCTTCCAACACATACTGTTTTAATTTACGACTTCTCTGTGCTACCATCGTTTCAGCATCACATTTGTTGTCGACTTTTGTACTGCTGTCAATTATATTGCTGCTACTTTTTGCTTGTGTTTGTGTACGCTGAAATTTCTACACAAAATATTTTATATTCTATGAGCAATTAATAATTTGCAATTATACAATAATACTACAAATTAAACAAACAGATAACAAATATAATAAGCAAATTCTATTAAAGAATATCATGTAAAATTCTATCTGATGTTACGTTTGAGAGATATGTCTTAGTATTTACTTTAAATTAAGAGCTACTATTTTGAGGATTAATTTTTTACCTCTTAAAAAATTTTATTTCGGTATGCATATATTTTAATTTTATAGTTTTTGGCAGAATATTTGCTAAAATAATTAAGTACATCACATGAATGGACGAGAATATTATATGCTCAATTAGATTTATACTAGTTCAATTTAAATTTGTACTCCATTCAAGATTAACTGAAACAGCGATATATATTCAACATAACTTGGGTCTGGAACAAAGTTTATAACTTCTATCAATATTTATAGAGTTTGGATGACCTACACAAAGGTCATGGTACCTATTACTTCGCTTATTTTACTTCAAATATATATACCATAACCACAATAATACCGATAGTAATTAAACAATTTTAAAAAATGTAAATGTGAGATTAATACAGTTGAATGTGAAGTAAAGAGGTGCTATATGTGCTCTGCAAAATGCCATCTCACTTCTGATCTAATTTTGATAGTTCCGACTTTAGAGGACTTATTTTTGCGAACTACTAAAACAGACAATTTAAAAAAACTACTTCCTATTTTAATATAATCAAGATTGTTTTTAATCTTTCTACAGTAAAAAATAAGCAAGTGAAAACCAACTTTCCGCTTTCTTAATGGCGTCGTATCCAAATCAGCTGCTGTAATATCGTCAACCATTTCAGTATTTGCTATCACGCACATAAACTCTCTAGAATGCAGACTTTGGGGATGCTTATTCACAAGTCGTTCTTATTTTGATTTTTGATTCTGACGCAATTGCTGAGAAAAAAATGATGACAAAATTGTTTGAGTAGTTGATAATGTCAGCTGCACAATGAATCCCACATTTAGAACCACTATTTTTGCTATTGAATCTTTTTCTTTCCTCTCTTTGAAGGATTTATTCCTGATTCCAGTATTCCATTCAAGTAATTTACTTTCTACTTCGTCTCGAATTTAATATAAATATACAAAAATTAAAGGAAATACGATAAATAAATGTGCAAGACAAGCGAACTGACGCAATTTGGAAAGCTAGAAATTCACAATTAAATAATGATTATTGCTTAATTTCTGAGCACTAAATTATCATTATAATTAATATACACTACTTACTAAGTTAAAGGGTCAAAAATTCAACGCATTTGATACATAAAGGGTCAAGATATATTTATTCTAAGTTAATAATACTCAAATTTCGGACATTTAACCCCAAAAACATGTAAAGTAATAAAACTTTTTGTGTCAAATTATTCCTAACAATTTACTATCCAGTGAGTATTAATTATCTTTTCCCTGGTAACGGATACAACATTAATAGCTATATATACAAAACCACAACACGTGATGTATACTGAATTCGCGTTTTTGCTAATAAAAGACGTAAGTGACATTTATTTTAATACAATATCAAAACAATACCTAAAAGAATCAACAACTCAGAATCATTTTTTTTTGAAAGAAAATTGCTACAGATCAATGAGATTGAGATGGACTGCAAAATTTGTATTCTGAAGAAATTGGACTTGATTAATGATGATGGAATTATAATCGGAATTGTATATAAGAATGCAATTTTAATCAGAAGCTACTGCAATTGAGATATTAAATATGACAAAATTATAAAACTAATTTATCTAAAAATGACTCAAACTTAGCAAAATTTGAAATAATTACATCTGACACAAAGTTGGTGAAAAAATTGAAACAGAACTAAAAGAGCTAGCTTAAAATTAGATTAGGTCAAGCTTGCACTAAACTTTGTTAGAAATGAATTAATTTTAGCAAATTAACTGATTCAGATATAGCTAATTATGAATGATTGAATGGAATTGTAATACTGCATCAAAAATAAAATCTAAATAAGCCTAACTGTGCCTTAGATAACTTTTAAAAATACTAGATTAATAGTGAGTAAGCTTTAAATCTGATGATATTAAATTAAATTTAAACCATAGCAGTAAAGTTGGCTAGGCTTAATCAAGACTAAGTGTAGCTTAAAAAACGTAATTTAAAGTAAACACGCAAAAAGACAAGCAAAGCTACACTGCTGCTACTGCTACTGCTGCCACTGCTACTGCTGCTACTGCTACTGCTACCACCGCTACTGCTACTGCTATTGCTAAAGGCTAGCTAGCTTGTGCTACCACAGCTGTTGTTGCTGCTATTGCAGTCACGCAAAGCTTGCCGTTTAAACAACTCTACCTCTATAATCACTCATCCATAAGAGAGCTAAGGAATGGAAAAAATAAATAGAAAGTGAAAAAAAAAACAGAAAAGATAGAGCACAATGCAAGAAATAGTAAGAAAAAGAACAAAACAGAACATTAAGTAAATGCTATGCTTATTTAGGGAAACGATCAGCGTATCATATCATATCATATCATACCATGTCATAGCACAGCATAGTATAGTATGGTATAGTATAGTATAGAACGGCACAGTGCAGCTGATAATCATGAAGCGGTCGTATTTTGCAAATAATATTACAGGTACTAACTTCAATTATTTATACGTGACATAGAACGTAAATAATAAAAAATTGATACAAAATAAACTTAATCACAATTCATGCCTTTATATAAAAAAATTATTAATAGGAGAGAAAAAAAGAAACAAGCAAAATATCTATGTAGCATATAGTAATATGTACTTTTACATAAATATGATAAACGTGACTAAAACATATATTTATTCTTAGACAGACGAGCAATTATAGTTTTAAGCGTATTCGTATGCATATAATCAAACGTGAAAGGATAACATAAATCATACACAAAGCACGCGCATACGTAGAAACTCCCCCTTTGTACTGATAGCTTCTAGGAAAGAGAGAAGAGAAATTTTCAGGATGCTATGTGGAAGAGGAAGAATTGAAAAATGGATTTTCCATTCTGCTATTAGTCAGGAATGTTTGCACGGCATCTCTTTCTATGCCTGTGTATATGCATATGTGTATGTGTCAATTCATATATGTGTGTGTGTGTGTGCGTGTGTGTGTGTGTGTGTGTGTGTGTGTGTGTG